GCGGCTCGAGGACTGGGAGAGTCTGCGCGGAACCTCCTTGCCGGTGGAGCGGCGCGCTGATGAGCAGGCGGCGGCAGCTGCTCAGTCTGTCGGGATCGACTGGAGGCTCGTGGGCAGCGGCGCACGTAGTGGTCGGGTGTCGCTGTCACACGAGGACAAGTGCGCTTTATGTGCGGCGCGGGTGGGTCTCTGGGAGGTTCGGCGTGCCGTGGAAAGGATGCAGCCGGACAAGTCGGCAAGCCCGAAGTAGGGTGTTGCGTCGGATCCCATCATCATCGGAGGTGACGTGCTCTATCTCGCCCTGGCCCGGCTCTGCGACCTCCGGCGCGATAGCCCGTGGGATCGCACTCCCACGGACTACAAGACGCGTGGGATCGCACTCCCACGGACTACAAGAGGCTCTTTGCGACGCATGTTTACAAGGACAAGGGGCGCGATATGACGGTGTGGCTTTCATATCGCTTCATCATGTTGCTCTCTTTTCTTGCCAAGGTCGACGAGGGCGCCTCGCTCTGCAGACTCACGACTTGCGTTGAGGTCGGCGAGTCGCAGTCGGTCACAAATGATAGGGTCGATGCACGACATCAAGTTCACATGGTTCTCGACTTTGCAGCGTTGTCATGGGCCAGGCAGAGTGAGCAAATTATGGCTGTTCTTGATATCGAGCGGGGCCTCCCGAGCTGTGAGCGCCCAGGTGTTTATCTGGCGCTGCGGCGTCGTGGAGTCCGCTCTCACCTCCTCGAGGGACTCGCTGGACTCTGGGATGGGGGTACACATCAAAGTGGCGCCGTGGCATTATATGGCGCCTATTATGACGGGCATTGGGATTCCCGAGGGGAGCCTTTGTCACCGGCCAAGTTTCGCTTCAGATTGCGGACGTGGGGGGAGGGTCTGCGATCTTCTCCAGCTGGTGTGGCCCGGAAGGGTCAGCGGGCTGGGGTTTTCATCCACATGGACGATATGGCCATGCTGCTGATGTCTAGGCCACTGAGCGCACCGGGGGGCTGGTCAACGGACCCACCTGCGGCGGTGGCAGCTCAGTTGGCGGGTGTCGCAGCGCTGGGGCAGATGTTGGACGACGCGCATGAGTGGTTATGGCGGCGCGGGTACTGTGCGACCCTTGACAAGTTTGAGGTGGTGCTGCTCGCGATGGGGGGTGATCACGGGCTTCAGATTTTGGACTATTGCTGGGTTCTCTCTGTGACACAGGAGCCACATTAAGCGGCCGTGTGGGATTTCGCGTGAAAAAGTTGAGAAGATAAAGGCGCAAGCCTTTGCACGTATTCCCTCTCTATTCGGCAGGCGCGGTGGGCCTGAACGGTGTGCGCGCTGCCTCATGTTATGTGACCGCATGGTGGCCGCGCGGGCTGACGCGTCGGATGCTTTGAGGCTGGAGGTTCTTCAGGCACGCGCGCTCAAGGCGCTCCTTGGTAATGCTATTGGGCCGGGGGCGCGCATCAACTACGACCTCCTTCTGGCGGTCTTCCGGCTACCGCGGCTTGCCGACCGACGGCAGCTGGACCGCGCCCTCTATCACTGTGCGGGCGCGCAGTCGGCCGTGGCGCGGCAGGCTTTGGGCTGACTTTGAGGCTCTGGCGCTTGAGGACAGTGATCTGGCGGGCGCTTTCCGACGGTCTTCGACCACGGCCACGATTCTCGAGGCCATCGCGACGGTGGACAGGCTCGCAGCAAAAGAAGAGTCGCCGCGGCTGGAGGGCCGAGACATGTGGCCAGGTTCCTCAGAGTAGGGCCGGATGGAGGATCAGTCGCCGGGCTCACAAGAGGAGGACGAGGCGGAGTCTTTGTCTGGATCCGCTGAGAGAGGGCGGACTTTGGAGGGGGCCTCGGAGGCCGCGCCTTCCAAACCGTTCAACGTCAACGTGGGAGCCGGCTTTACCGACGACGACCCGCTGGATCGGCGGGGTCGAGCGAAGCGGCTCGGCGCCAAGGTGAAGCGTTTGCTAAGCCGGGGGGCTTTGCGTCTGCGCACGGAGAGACTTCTTCCGGTAGATAGTGCGGCACTTTTTGACGCGTTTGGCCCGTCGGGACGCTGGCTGAAAAGGCCAAGGGAGGTTGTGCCGGACAGAAGAAGCTGGCCTCTCAGTGCTAGCCATGCTGTTGGCGCTTTCTGGCCCTGCTCTCAAGTCCGGTGCAGCGGCCGCCCTCGACAGTGTGGCTGCGGTTATAGTGGTCAGGAACTTCGTCTTTACTTTTTCTTCGGCGACAGCGGTGATGGAATCACCTGCACTGCGGCGGGCCCCGAGCGCGCGCAGAATACGTGCAGCGCATCTCGGCCCGTTTTGAAAATGAAGGTTGCGCCGAGCTTATTGTACGACCCGCCGTCGATCATGAAGCTCGCCAGATACCTCGGCGTGGGCGGTCGAAGGCTACCCCGGGAGCTCGCGGAGGGGCTTCCGCACGACTTTATCGCGACTTTTGGAGAAGATGCGAGACGGGCGCGTGCAGAGGGCGTCTTGGGCAGGATGGTCGCGTCGGCCACGGACGCTCAGAAGGCTTCTTTGGGAAGACTGTGCAGCGCGAAAGACGGGCGGCCGAAGCGTTTCGAGAAGCCGGCCGCCGCTTCTTCGACTCGGCGTCCGCGTCGCATTCGGCGAGGCCCCGTTTCGACAACAGCATCTTCGCGAGGAGGCTCTTTGCGAGGCTCGCAGATCGCAGCAGAGAGGCAGTCGATCGGCCAGGCCATTGCCGTGCGCCGCCGGCGTGCCGGACGAAGGATGGAACCACCACGTCGCCCCCGGCGTGGCACGTCGCGGCACTGTTTCGACTTGGTCCACCGCCGCGTCGAGCCTGGACGTGGCGCGGTGGCCACTCGATGGTTCGTTCGTGGTTCCTTCCAGTGGCGGTGGACTCGTTGGCTGTTCGAGGCGGCGCAACGTCGAGGTCCTACGTGCGCGGTCCACTCCCCTGGATTTTCCCGAGTAGCCAGGATCGGGATCCTCAGAGCGCCGGCGGCTACCGCTTCGCTTCGCACTCCAAGGCGCCTGGTTACATACTGTCATTTTGCGCAGAAGCCTCATCCCACTCTCGCGTCGCTCGCTGTATGGCGCGTCCGAACAAATATTGTTTTTCGAAACAAAAACAAATCCTAAAATTTAAAAAGCATGAAGAAAAAAATATGAATAAAAAAAAGTCGTAAACCCTGAAAAGGCAAAAACATATTCCGAATCCGGGACTCGAACCCGAGTCTCAACCGTGCAACTCACTCGAAGTCATAAGACAAGGAATGATTGAGAGGGTCGTATGCTGACCACCTACACCAATTCGGAAGGCTTTCATCGTTGACCGAAATCAAATCAGAAAACTATTTGGCGATATTTCGCCGATGTTTGGATGAGAGAGAACGCCGCTGTAATGTATATATAGCCTGGTCCATGGAAAAGTGCAGTACCGCAACAACTGCCGCGCGGCTCCCCACCGACGACCCTCGCTCCCAGCCGCGCCGCGCCTGTCGGTCAATCCAGTGTGCCCACGAGGCACGACCCAAACCGGCGGGGTTGCACCTCACTGTTTCGAGGCGACGAGTGGCGAGTCTGCGCACGGAGCTGCTGCCTTTCCGCGCCTCGACGGAGAACACGCGCCGGCATATGCACCGCGGCGGCGCGGCGGACGACGACCGGGCGGCGCGGTCGACGCCCGGTGAATCGACGAGCCTCGACGTCGCCGGCGCCCGCCTCGGGGCTTCGAAACGCCGGCGCTCTCGATGACCAGCGGGGCGGCTCGAGAGCGGTAAGCGGCCTTGGCCGTCGACGACTCGGGGACCGCGGTCTCTGGGCCATGCGTACAACAAAAATAATCAGAGAGATGCTCCTCGCGACAGCCATGCCGCTCTTCTCGGAACGTCGCCTTCGCAAGACTACGCGAACAGAACGGTCGTCTCGACGCTCTTGTCGCAGAGGCAGGTCGGCCTCCGTCGCGAGCTACAATTGCAGCTCGATCGAAGAGGCTCTTTTTGGCCAAAAACTTTTGTGATGACTTTAGCGAAAACAAGGTTTAAAAAAACAAAAAAAATGAATGATTCAATGAAATCTGAGGGGTTCGAACCCTCGCACGCGAACGTACTGCGACTTGAATGCAGCGCCTTAGACCGCTCGGCCAAGAATCCGATTGTAAACGTAGTTGTACGGTCGGCGGGGTTCGAACCCGCGCTCTGTTACGAACTAGTACCTGAAACTAGCGCCTTAGACCGCTCGGCCACGACCGCGAGGACTGTCTACTTCAACTACACAGGAGTGGTGACGGTGCTTTAAAATTACGGTCTGCGGGATTCGAACCCGCGCCCGAAGACTAGTGCCTTAAACTAGCGCCTTAGACCGCTCGGCCAAGACCGCACGATGAACACATGCTGATTATACGCTGAAATTGCACTGATGTTGCTGCTTATATTTCGAAATCATGTTTGTTGTTATATAAACCATTAGGAATTTCTAGTCGCGACCAAACTTGTGGGACGGCATCGTCGGGATTTTTGAGGACCAGAAGGGTCCTTGCCGTTTATTCAACGTCAGTTTACGGCAAGGGCCCTTCGGGTCCTTTGATCGAAGGATTACCAGGGGCAATTATGTCTGTCTGTCTGTC